GAAGGCCGAAAAGAAGCGAATTCCAAAATCCTTCGAATAACCTTGGGAAAATACATGTTTTTCGCCTTTTCGGGCCTTCCTGGAGGCCCTCTTGGAGGCCTCTTGGGCCGTCTTGGGCCAGCTTCGAGCCGACTTCGGCCATCTTGGTGGACTCCTGGCCCCTCTGACGCCGTCGGAAGCCGTTTGGGGGGCCTCTCTGGGCCGATTTGGGGCCCTCTTGGGGTGCTCCAGGGCCGTCTTAGAAGCCATCTTGGGCGTCTTGGAAGTCTCTTGGATCGTCTTTGTGCCCTCTTGGGGCCGCCTTGGAGGCCTTTTGGGCAGTCCTGAGGCCAACTTGGAAGCCTCTTGGACGCTCTGGGGGCGATCTTGGGGGCCTCTTGGGCCGTCTTGGGTCGTCGGAAAGCCGAAAAGGAGCAAATACGAACAACCTTTAAAAACCTACGGAAAATCAATGTTTTTAGCCTCTTCGGGCCCTCCTGGAGGACCTCTCGGAGGCCTCTTGGGCCGTCTTGGAGGCCTCTTGGGCACCTCTTGGGCCGTCTTGGAGATTTCTTGGGCTGACTTGGAGGCATCTCCTCTCTTGGGCGGACTTGGAGGCCATCTTGGAAGTCATCTTGGGCCAACGTGGCCATCTTGGAGGCCATCTTGAGCTGTGTCGGAGGATTTTTTTCTGGATTGGGGAATTTCCGGGTGGCCGGCAGGACGCGCCGGAGCCCCAGGGGGAGTTCTTTTGGAAACGAACCAAAACCAAAAACGACAGGATTTGGCACACTAGGCACCCGTCTTGCAAGCAACAGGGGGCGGCGGATCCGAGTGGCTTTCGGCCCATACCGCCACCGTGCTTGGGTTGCGGGTCTGAGGCCTCTTGTACATGTGTTGGGGTGTCGTAGGGCGCCTCTTGGGGGCCTCTTGGGGCCTCGTGGGGTATCTTTTGGGCCTCTTGGAGGCCTCTTGGGCGCATCTTGGGTGCCTCTTGGGGCCTCTTGGGGCCGCTTGGCGGCCTCTTGGGGCCTCCTGTGGGCTTCTCGGGGCACAGATATACTTGTTGTCGGTTCGTGGTCCCCTGCTTAGGCCCCTCTTGGGGCCCTCTTGGGCCGTCTTGAGCAATCTTGGAGCCCTCTTGGGCCTTCTTGGGGCCCTCTTGGAAGCCTTTTAGGCTGTCTTGGGGCGGTCTCGGGAGCTTCTTGAGCCGTCTTGGAGCGTCAGAAAGCCGAAAATGCGAGAAGGCCAACATTCTTCAAACACCTTCGCAAAAATCAGCAATGTTGGCCTCTTGGTTGGGGCTCTCTCGGGAGACCTCTCGGAGCGTTCTTGGGGCCTCTTGGGGCCCTCTTGAGTCGTCTTGGAACCATCTTCGGACGCCTTGGAGCATTCTTGGCCTCGGCAATGCGAATATGGCGTAATTTGCGAGGGTTTATGGCCTCGGGGACGCGAATATGTTATAATTGACCCTGGTTTGTTACCTCGGGGACGCACACATTGTAATTTACGAAGGGGTTGTTGCCTCGGGGACCAAACATTGCATAATTTACACGGGTGTGTGGCTTCGGGGACGCGAACATCGTGTAAGTGACGAAAGGTTGTTACCTCAGGGACGCAAGCATTATCTAATTTACGCGGGTTTGTGGCCTCGGTGCAATTTACAAAAGGAGTATGTCTCACAACCCCCCGTGAACTCAGAGAACGCGGTCCGTGCGTAGTAAATTGCTGGTTTGGGGTCCCCCCCCTCGCGCGAACTTCAACAATTTACCGTAAAAACAAAAAGCAGGACAGTAACGGAGGCTTGAAACTGCAACTGGCGCAGGGAACAGCAACTTCGTCCTAGAGCCTGATGGCCCCAAAAGGGGGCCAGCAGATTCCAGCGAAATACATGGATCCATTTACTTTTTCTTCCGCACTGGAAACTGGATCCACTAAGCGCAGAGATAGGATCCACGAGATTTTCGCACACCCGAAACAAGGATCCAATCGGACCCACTCGAAAAAAGGATCCAATCGGACCCATGTGCTTTTACCCGTTGTATTCCAAGAGGAAAAAATTTTGGACCTGGGGATGTGGAATTGATGACGCTCGCAAGTGCAACAAGACAGCGGCGCCAGAATAGCCACGACAGACGACGACCACGACGCCTGTCGATGTCACAGGTACTTTCTATCGGAATAGATTTTCGGAGGTTCACGCTGCTTCCACGGATCGGCGTTGGACCCCTCCTCCCTGGCGCGCGGAGCGCGCCAGGGGAGGCGCCGGAGGCGCCGCCGGGAGGCCCAGCACCGATCCGACAAATCTGCGCGGAGCTCCAAGAGTGCATGTTTATGCAGTTTGTTCCTCTTCGATTGTCCCGTCCGTCGAAGCGGTCATCGCCTCTTCCCATCCAGGGAGGGGGGCCCAGCGCCGAGCCGAGAAATCCTCGCAGACCTCCGAAATCTTATGTTTATGCTTATTGCTTACTGCCCTACAGTCAACACACATGGTAAGGTTGAGTGACATTTCCGAGGGTGA